CAATCCCCAGCAACGGCGCCAAAAACTTATTCGCGAAATTATTTATTCCGATTTAAAATCCACTGCAAGTGTACGATTCGTTAAAAAGTAGTAAAATGGACTATGAATCCAAGTATCGATCCCACGAGGATTGACTTAGTTCAAATTAATTTAGTACGACCTTAACCAAAACACAACAACCAAATTTAGATTTTGTACTTTAACTAACAAAATGTAACCATTGATGCAATTATGAATGAAGAATTATACTAAGTGCAAAATAACTTGGATGCAATTTAACTAGAATTTTATAGAATTAATGGATGTACTAACGCACTAGGATCACGAATCCCCAAGCAATACCCGTTTAATTGTCACTTATGCAAATTTGACATACAATTCCACAAAAGATGAATCAATATTCCTATTTTAATTTAGCAATCTCTCTCGAGCAATGTCAAACATATCCCAATATATGATTCAACTATATTTCTATGACGAATACTAATATACCGACATGCATTATAAATTCACGAATATTCAATGATTCACACAAGGCATAGAGGTATATTTCTATCCCCTATTGGACCCTATGATGATTTATACTATGTCGAACCTATTTTCCTTCTTTCGAATGCATAAAACAGGCCACCACAATCATATAATTATGTGCACAATAATCATATGAAAATAAAAACGAAATAAATCAATCAAATCTGAAACTAGTGTTCAAATACGTCAAAAATCCAAAACAACAATTAAATGTAGTATTACAAGGTTCATCGATCTCCTAGTAGTGGTAAATCTAGCCTAAATGTTAAAAAGAACAAAACATAAAAATATTTGAAGAAACGACATCACCCGAATCAATCTTCAATCCAATCTTTACTGGCGCGATATTGTTCTCTTGTTCTATCATTCGTTTCTCCTTCAAAATCTCCTAAAAACATGTAAAAACGGTGTCTCTTACGTTCTGGTCGAGTTTTTTTTTATATTTATAAGATCCTAAAAATATTATTTCCATAAGAGTTTTGGAAGAAAAAGGAAACTAAATTTTTCCTCGATAATTGCTCGCGGTCGTATAGAGTAGAATTTTGGGGCATCTTTGTTTGCGGTATGCTACTATGCGACCGCATAGAGGACAGTACTATGCGGTCACATAGTACTATCTACTATGACAGATGTGCGCTTTGGTCCTCCCACTTGCATCCTTCACTTCTTGGCATCCTCGTTTCATTCTTTTCATTTCATCAACCCGCGATATCTTCAATTGGTAATTGGCTAAATCGATTTCTCAATTTGTTCATCGAATCAACTTTTGGATATTTTCACTTATGGTCCCTGAACTTTCACTTTGCGTCACTTTAGTCCATTTTCGCGTCTTTTCTACTGAATTTCACCATGTTCATCGTTGTTCCCTACAATTCACAAATATACAAGATTAAGTCACAATTCAATCATTTTGCTCGTTTTTAAGTCATATTTGTGACCTAAATAAATGTGCAAAAACACACTTATCAACATGTTTGGGAAGTTACATTATATTGAACAATTTAATTGTATTATCTAGTACAGGTTAATATGGGTGAGCAAATATGTAATTAAGCTTCAAGGATCTTTTTTATTTTTATTTATATTTTTTTTGGGTGTTTGTTTACATAAAATAAATTGACAACTCGATCGTTGTTGTTAGAGATTAGTTGAGATGTTAATTTTCAAAAGAAAAATGAAAACTATATGCTTCTTTGACTGAAAAAAAAAAATAAATAAATAAAATAGTTTGTCTGAGTGGTTTTTAAAGGCAGATGCAGGTCAATCAAAACAAGAAATGGGCATTGTCCTCATAAATTTTGAACTAATCATATCGATTTTTACTTTAAAAGAATTAACTATATAGTCGATCTTTTATGCACGTTGATAAAAGTTTTGGTGAAATCTATCTTAGAAAATTCACTTTCCATGCTCATTGAACATGAATTTACTTCTAACAGATTAGGGATTTTCGACCAATTACCATCAGAATTAAAATGAGATTATCTTAAATTAAAGTCGAAACGAATAATAAGACTTCTATATTAGCAAATAAATAAATAATATCCATATCTTCCGTGTTAGAAGATTTTGATGTTATTGTGTACATTTTGCCTTGATACCCTTTTGGTTGTTAGATAACACAAGTCAAGTTGACCTAGTTTTCAAGACTATCTTAACGGACAAGTTATTTACTTAGGTTGGATCAATTTTTCTACATAATATATATATATAATAGAACTGTAGATGCATGATGTTTTAATTTATTTATTCCTTAATTTAGCTTGAATGAATAAGGCATATTTTTTATGGTTATTTTTTATTCTCTATACTTATTTTTGAACACGACATTACAAGATTGTCATATGACAATACGATATTATAAGATTACATATGACAAAATTTTGATTTGCTAAATGGTAGAATTTCATTTAGTGTCACGTACATAAACATATTCCTTGCTAAGTATTCAAATTAATTCGCATATGTTTTATAAATTGCGATAAGATATTTTTTTAGTGTCACGTATACGTAAACATATTCCTTGATAAGTGTTGAAATTAATTCGTATATATATCTAATAGACTACTATATGACATGCAAATAACATATAGGTTTCATGTCAAAACAAACAACCAATTATTGAGGTAAATTATTTTTTATGAAACAAAACATTCTTACTCTATGTATATCGTGTAATTATAAGCCCACGTTTGGTTCAGCTAAAAATGTAAATTTTATGAAATTCACGACTTTTCACTTACACATTACATCAATTTTTATCAAAAACTACTAAAATTTTGATTTTTATCTAAACCAAAGATGGCCTAAGTGATTTGGAAGGTGTCACGCCTAGTATGAGAGAGCTTTATTGTAATTTTCACATACTACCAACAATTAACCTAAATGTAACATAAAGTTGAGGTCTTTTTGTTAATGCACTTCACAACTTAAAAGCTAAAGATATCTGCAGAGACATTTGGTGATTGTTTGGTAAAGATTTTGATAATATATTTTTTTACGGTTAGAGATAAAGTGAGTTCTACATGTGAGAGAATAACTCAAAAATGATGACTGGAATAGTGAAATAAAGATAAAAAAAATTGATTTTAATTGACTAAAAATCTGTACCAAACAAGTACTTGATGGGGGAAAAAATGTTTTGTTCTAATTTTTCTTTGATCACGAGGTGAGAAAAATTGCATTGTTACTTTTTCATTATTTTGTCTGGTCACGTTATCAAGTGAAAGTGACCTCAATGTAGAAAAACTTTAATAGATTCACACTTTGCGTTTCTATTGGAGGCTCGTATGACCAATTGAATTGAAAATATTTTACTTACTGAAAAAATGTGTTTTTCTTTTTCCTTTCCACAGAAATTTGAGATTAATATATAGTAAAGTAATTATTTATTTGTGTAGAAATATTACTGATCAGTTGACCGACAAAAATATAAAGTTAACTTGCAAGGGATGGTTAGTTGACCTATTGATACAAGTCTCTATGTTTGGTTGAAAGTTATATATTTTCTTTTAACTCTATGAAAAATAAAAAAGAAAAAAAATATATGTATAGAAGAACGTTTAATTGTGTAAAAAATTACTTATCTAAAATGTAAATTCAAATTTAATAGAAAGAATAATTTTATAGATCATACCGGACAAAATAGTCGTCTTGATTACATCAATCAACGATTTGGCTTTGGGTCGATGTTATGCCAAATGGAGATATATGCTTTGGCATTAAAGTCAAGTATTTTGCTATAATTCTAAATACTGTTCTGAATTAGAAATAATAGTTTATCGAAGAGAAATGTTCTTTATTGTAATTGAACTCAAGATCAAGAGTACACAATTAGAAGAATAGATGCCAAATGAAATTTTTAATTACATATTTGGTATACTTTACTGACTTCGTATAATAATAAACAAAATTTTAATTTATTATTTTGATATCAAAACATTTCATAATTGTAAGAAAAATTATTGAATGATAAACTCATATTGTGTAGCCTACAACATTTCTTTTTTCTTTTTTCTAGGCACGTTGCGTTGGTTCATTTTTCTTAGTCGTTTTTTGTCCTAAATTCCCTATAGAAAGTGGGTAACAGCTCGACGTTGACTCCCATGATTCTCTGTCCCAATGGCACTTCAATTATTTGAAATTTTGGAAAATCCGGATTCCATTTTAAGGAGAATTTTTCAAACTTCGATTTTACTTTATTTTTTTAAGTAAAAATATTACTATTAATATTTCTTGGGTTGTGCTATGTGTACACTGGGGGTGCATCCTTATGACACTGCCAATGTATAAGGAGAATAATCCAATATATAGTCCATTGTCACAGGTTAAATTCTTATTTAACTTTATTTAAAATAAAATTCATATTCTTCCACACTCTTAATTCTTTTTCGTATTGTGCCATGTTTTGGCCTCTTCTCTTTCTCTTTCTCTCTTCCCACTTTCTTTTCTACACCAGAATAAATCAAGTAATAGGAGATTAAGAAAGGAGACGCAGCACTGTTGAGGAGGGCGAGGTCGGTCAAGATAAGTGCTACTTCCCTACTTGCAAAGTGGGAAGATGAGAAATGGGGATAAGGAAAGGTACTTGAAAGGTGGGAAAGTGGTTTTTTTTCTTTCTTTCTTTTTAATGAGAAAGTGCTTCAAAAAACCTGATTAAAAAAGGCGGCTATTCCGAAAAGGAAAATGTCCGCTTGTACAGAAAAATCATCAACAGAAATCTTACAGACATTCACATGGGGGTGGGCCCATGTGAATTAAAATATTTTAAAAAATAACCCATCCACACCTGTATGTGTGTATTTTGTACCGCTTCTGTAGAGGATTTTTCTGTATGTATAGCTTTATTACTCTGAAAAACAGTTTTGCTTCACTAACAGGGCCGATTTGCCCTATTAGGGCTATTTTTAAATTTCCCATTCCAACTTGGTCATACATGATAAATTTCCTCTTAGTTATACATTATGACAAGTTAGTGTCTGTATATATGCCATGTATGGTGTGTACATATTTATATCGAGAGTTGGTCTGTGATAATCCAAATATCTGCGGGAGAGAAAAAAGAAAATCTCTCTTCTTTCACATGTGTTTTTCCTCGGATTCTTGACGCGTAATACTATCGTCCAAATTTCTGTCCGTGTAGAATTTCGTCAAAAAGGGAGCTTCAAACTCAGTGAAATACAGAATAATTAACTCATGTTGAGACCATATTTGTTTCAAAATTGTCTATGATTTCTTCTCTGGGAGGATTAAATGGAAGAGTTCGGAAAACATGAACGCCGGTGGTCATTCTCAGACACGATGGCCGCCAGAAAATCGGTTTATAGTGAAGGATCATCGCCGGGAACGGATTCAGGAGGTTCTGTAATTCCGGCAGAGGAGTTTGTTGAAGTTACGCTTGATCTCCAGGATGATGATACAATAATACTACGTAGTGTTGAACCGGCAACGTTCATTAACATAGATTCCGGCAATGACGTTGTTTCTGGATTCGCCGGAATCGAAACGCCGACACCGGCTTCAACGTCAGCTTCCCGGTCACCAACTATGCACCGAAGCTCTTCCAGTAGGCTTCGACAATTTTCTCAGGAACTGAGAGCTGAAGCAGTAGCAAAAGCCAAGCAGTTTTCACAGGATCTGAAGGCTGAATTAAAGCGATTTTCATGGAGCCACGGGCATGCGACACGTGTTATCAACGGTGACGCTGAAGGCGGAGGTGATGGAATAGAGTCCGCGCTGGCAGCACGGGCAATGCGTCGGCAACGTGCGCAGCTTGATCGGACTCGCACCGGCCCAAATAAAGCTCTCCGAGGTCTCAAGTTTATCAATAAAAGTAAAACAAATGATTGGAACGAAGTTCAGAACAATTTCAATAAGCTTGCAAAAGATGGTTTCCTTTACCGTTCTGATTTTGCACAATGCATAGGTCAGTAACATTTTCGATCTCAAAATTAAATGCTCGTTTAAGCTTTTTATATTAATGAAATGCTCATTTGAACACTTTCTTCTCAGGTATGAGAGATTCCAAAGAATTTGCGTTGGAATTATTCGATGCATTAAGCAGAAGGCGAAGGATACAGATGGAGAAGATTAGCAGAGATGAACTCTACGAGTTTTGGTCACAAATTACAGATCAAAGTTTCGATTCCAGGCTCCAGATTTTCTTCGACATGTAAGCATTTGATCATTGCGTGTTTTGTTGTTAACGAAGATTTGGTGATATAAAATATTAACAGCATGATTTGACTTGACAAAATGTTACAGGGTAGACAAGAATGAAGATGGTCGAATAACTGAAGAGGAGGTCAGAGAGGTAAAATTCACTCTGTTTAATTTATTATTTAAAAAAAATGATTAATCTCTAGGATTAATTGGAATTTTTAAATTAATGGAGTAATGATTATGAGGTAAAGCACAGTCTGTCAGATTCTCAGTGGCATTATTCAAAAAAATTAGGGCTGACCTTCAATTATTTTGTTTTGGGATTAAGAGCATGTTTGGCTAAACTTAAATAAAGTTATTTTGTTTTCTTAATTTTAAATATAAGAGGTTATTTTTTTTCAGAAATTAACTCTTACTGTAAGGTAAATAACATATTCTAAAACTTACTTATCATTAATAAGTAAATTTTATAAGCGTAGCCAAAAATCTTATTATGCCACGTGTTAGGCGTGACAGGTGACTATTCCAAAACTAACAACTCCAATGCGTCTGTTGCAATGTCACCCATGTTCTAGAATATCTATTTAATTTTAGCTAAATAAAATAATTGGAATGAGTAAAAAATTAAGAATGTCAAACTCTGTTATGCTGAAGTCTCCAAATTGCACTAGTGTTTTGACATGGGCCAAAAAAAAATTAGTGGGGTTGGTGGGGGTAAATTTGTAATTAGCTATAAAATAACATTTCTATTTCTTTTTAATTTACATTATGTAGATTATTACGCTAAGTGCCTCGGCAAATAAGTTGTCAAGATTACAAGAACAGGCAGAAGAATATGCAGCTTTGATCATGGAAGAGCTCGATCCTGAAAGACTTGGCTACATCGAGGTTGGCTCTTCTATCTAATTAAAAATACATTATTGTTATTATTTAAATTTCGATAATGTTATCTACCATTGATTGCTCGCAATTGAAATCGTACAAATAAAGCTAGATCTATACTATAGTTGTCTCATGCAATAAATAAACTCAAATTCGTAAATTTGCATGACATCATAGTTTACTTGACACGTAAGGAAACAATACAACATACTTCAACATTATTCTTAATTAAATTCAAATCAATTACGTCAATCTTAATGATGTTCCTTCACACGCAAATATCAAATTTGATATATGAGATTTTCATAATTGAATAGCGATGAGATTTAAATACAAGATATTTGTCTACTGTAATAGTACATTAAAGTACCTCATGTAGTACGTTCGAATAATTAATGTTCATGCCTAAGTTGTACTTAAAGCACTAACTAATTGATTGTGCACCAACCACAGTTCCTCGACTAATACTAAAGAAAATGGTTACAAATAAAGTTATCGTGTTGGACTTTTATTTCGAGAAAGTCAGTAGTTAGACAACAAATCATGGACTAAATCTTCCTAATAATATTAAGATAATTTGTTCAACTACACACATCGAAGAAAGAATTAATGTACTCCAAAGCAAAATATAAATTTAATCAGATTGATATCAATTGGTTAGGTAATTCTTGAATAAATATTGTTTTAATTTGTTAATAATGGGGAATAATTATTTATTTTTATTATGGGGGTGAAACCGTCCCATGAGCCAAAAGTCAAAATAATGAAATATATTAATTTTGGTGGTACAATTCCACTAACATATAAAATCCCATAACATCTTCATTATTTAAAATGAGACAATAAAACAAAATTTATGACAAACCAAACACAATATTTGTACAACTTTTTAATTCATTATAAAACCCAACAATTATTAAATTTTAATTCTATGTTTAGAATAATCATATATGCTTTAGCTGGGATTGTCTTACTTTGACTATGTCATATTGTCGCCCTTTAAAACCATAAATTAGAGTGATATTAAAGTACAAAAGTTTTGAAAAATTATAACCATTTGTTTTACATATATTAGTGAGAGAACGGCTTACTGGCTAACTAGTGATCATTTTAAAAAACTTTCCGTAATATTTAATATTCTTTTAATGTTATTGATGACCTTTGAAATATGTTCATCAGAAGTAGAAATATTTTAATTTTTTTTTTTTTTTTTTTTTAAAAGATGGGGGCCTTCAAATAGGAAGCCTTAGGCGATAACTAACAAGCCTAAGAGTTGAGTGGTCTTCGAATAACTAAGTAACTTTGCACGGTAATTAGAGGTGAACATAGTTCGATTTGAACGATTTGCAACAATTTTTCAAATCAAATAAGTTAAATTAAAAATATTGATTTTTTTTGAAAGATGGGGGCCTTCAAATAGGAAGCCTTAGGCGATAACTAACAAGCCTAAGAGTTGAGTGGTCTTCGAATAACTAAGTAACTTTGCACGGTAATTAGAGGTGAACATAGTTCGATTTGAACGATTTGCAACAATTTTTCAAATCAAATAAGTTAAATTAAAAATATTGATCTAAAATTTCACGTTAAAACAAAAATCATATTGTTGAAAATATTATAGAACAAAAGTTCTATAATTCTAATCATTCTAAGTGGAAATTATACCCATCCCTACTTTTCAAATAACACTTTCAAAAATCAAATTATAACTATCTTCTTTAAAAAATCAGATTATAATTATTTTATAGTTTAAAAACATAAATAATCTAATAATTAAATCTCAAACCCTCATAATCTAATAAATCCACCATTATCCACAGCAGCCACCTTATCCACCATAATAAATAATAATAATCCACCATACCCACTAAGCTTGGGCATCGGGTGAGTCGGTCCGGGTATTTCAATACCTAAAACCACTCATTATGCTTCAAGTATTTTACAAATAAAACCATTCGGGTCTTTGTAAATACTAGAACCAAACCCAAACTCGAACCGTCTTTTTCGATTCAGTTTTCAATCCTACTCGTAATATTTTTATATACATTTATTTAGTAAATATTTCACATAGACTCTTTTGGTACATACATCTAATATGCTATTACTTGAAAATATATAAATACAATGGAGAAAATTCAATTAAAAAAATTTCAAAAAGCAAAATATTGGATACTAAAAGTCACAAAAATAGGAGAAAATAAAAAAAAAATCAAAAATGAAATTGTAATTTGAGAAAAAATTACTTTTCTTGATAAATCTTATTTGATCTCTAAGAAATGCATACTAGGCATATACTTTAATTATGAACAATGCTTGAATTCTTCTACTTGTAAAACAAACTGATTTAAAAATACTAATTAAATACATAACTAATATAGTATCAAAAAATTACGATTCACACATTGAACTCGCTCTGTTTGATATAGAAAATAAGAAATAAATATTTAAAAAGAGGACCACGGACTCAAGATAACAAAAAAAATAAAACACAGTTCAATTGCCATGCATTATGAAAAAAATAATAAAAAAATCACTTAATAATACAAGAAAGTAAATAGCTTGAATTGCAAAAGAATGAACCCTTTGATTCATCAACTTATATTACAATATGTTTGAAATTTTTGATTTATAAAAAGCTCAAATTGTAAACATTAACATATAATAACCTCTGAGATGCAACAATCGATGTAAGACGAGATGTGAAAGAGTAAGAACCAATCTTATTTTTTAGGATTAGAGTTTAAAGTTTTAGACTAATTACTACCAAAATTAGAAATTTTAGATTTTATATGTTTTTTCAAGCCAATAAATTATAAATAATTTTTTTTTTTATAAAAATCGGTTCTATTTAAATACCCACAATTTTGGTTTACGAATCAAGAACCGAACCGAATCCACTCGGTTCTCAATTCCGATTCCAAATTTATTTTTTCGAGAATCGGACCGGAACCTCCGATTCCGATTCGATTTCGATTCGGGAGATTCGCCCAGGCCTAATACCCACACACTATAGTTGAGCAGTGCCACCATACCCACCGCCCGCAGCCGCATCGTGCCAAGAATAAGAGACAATGAGCGCTTTGCATAGATCGTAGTTGTGCAGCCTCACAGACTCAATGGTGAATATAGGAAGAAATAGTAGCTCTGGCGTAGATTGGTCTAGTGGAGAGAGGAAGACTTGTGGTAACCCTAGTGGCGGGGCGAATATAATGGAAAGAGGTGGCTCCAACGTAGATTCATCCGTTGCCCATCAGTGTGCACGATTTTGGGGTGTTTTCAAGTGGTTTAGGGCTGATAGTGGTCTAGATCTAAGATAGAAGCTATGTTTTCAGGTGGTTTAGGGATAATTCGAGATCCCTATAGCGCGAGCAGGCGACAATGATGGTGGTTTTGGACAGTTCAGATGACACTATAGTGATAATATTGTGGTGTGTTGAGCAGTGTTGTGGCCGTGGTAATGGTTTTGCGATTACTGTGGTGGTGCAGTGCGGTTCTATAAAGTGAGGTATGGTGCTAGTAAGTTGGTGGAGGGGTGGTGGTTGTATTGGTGGTGATGGTAATTGTGCGGTGGGAAGAATGTTTGTTATCAATTATTTGGTTTATTATGAACAATAAATTGATTATTTGTGATCAATAAATAATATGTGACCAATTATTTGAGATTGTGATCAATAAATTGAATATTTTGTTACCAATAAATAATATGTGATTGAAAACTTGTGATCAATAAATAATGTGACCTATAATTTTTTTTATTGTGATCAAGAAATAAATTTTGATCAATTAATTCAATAATTTGTGATCAAATTGTATAATATTGTAACCTTAATGTATTTAGTTAATAAAATATATGTTTCATTAATTATTTTATAATTTTTTTTTAAAATCTGATTTTTGAGGTTTCAAACCTTGCTTCTTAATTTTGAAATGTATCATACTTAATCTCTTATATGTGAATTTTTCCTATTTCAATATTATAGAAATATTTAATCTCTTAGTCAATGCTAATAGGCACAACATCTACAATTATAACACATGATTCATTCTTTCCATAAATATAAGAATATAATACATGAATTCATTGATTATAATTAAATGATATGAAACAACTAATAAAAGAAAATGATAAAAATATCAAATACAATAATATTTAGATTAGAATCATTCTCAACGAGTCTATAAGAAGTAAACCCATTTTTTTTTATCGGGTTCGAGTAGAGACCAAAGATCTTAAGCAATCGATCCGACAGAACAACTCAAAAAATAAAGAAGTATTTGTGAGTCATTCAATGCTTCCGACACCATATTTGTGTTCAACAAATTTCTAAAAGAATCAAGAATCCGACCACTAGCAGGAAATATAGACTCAGAAACAATTGTTAATATTTAAATAGCTAACACATTTTAATGGATTTGGGGGATAATCTTTCTATTTATTTGTAATTAATTTCCACCAAAATAATATATCGAACTACTCATTGTTAGTATTCCACCAAATCATTATAGCTATTATTAGTAAAATCTAGAAACTAAATTAAAATATAAATACTCAATTGAGTGATATGACCAGAAAATTGAGTTGCAAATAAATAAATAAAATTTATCTGCTAAAAATTTAAGGGAGCACGACACATATTTGAACAAAATAACACAAGTATAAAAAAATAGCAAACAATTACCAAAATATAAGAAAATCTGGATAAATTGATCTGAAAATTTAGCCGAAACTCGAGAAAATTATTAGTAAAAAGGAAAAGAAATGTGTGAATTTGAATTAAAATCTAGATATAATTGTTTACTCAATTATAATGGACGATGGGTATTTGGGTACAAATTAATGGGATGGACTTTAATTGGGATGTGTTTAATTTTAATTGGATTGGATAAAATTAAATTTTTTTTTTTTTTTTAATAAACGGTATGGGGTTTGAAACAATTTGCAAAAATTGAAACCTAAATCCAACCCCATCGAAACAATTTGGTGTGGTTCAAAATCAAAACATTGACGGATAAACGTGAATCCAAACCAATGGTTTCAAAAAAGCGGTATCGAGTTGGCAGCTACGTTTTTCAACTCTAATCAGGGTAGGGGGTGTATTCAATCGAGACTTTTGAAGGCTTTGATGGACTTTTTTTAAGTGATGACTTTTGTGAATTTAATGGATCTTTTATAAATTTATATGAAATTAGTGGAAGTTTTTCATTTATGAATTTTCATTTTAGAATTTTTATAGACTTTTGTGGAATTTAAAAGAATTTTAAAAATTTTCATTTGAAATAGAATTCACACAGATCTAGTGTGAAATTCTCACATACAAGATGTTAGTTCCCACAATTTCCCTTCTTTCCCCCCCCCCCACCCCCCCCCCACACACACATATAAGTGTGATAAAAGTCGAATTTAATTTTTTCATAGAAAATAGAAATAAATAATAAGAGAGAGAAAGAAAGATAAATGAAATATAATCAATAGGAAAAAAATAAATTTTAATCATATATGTCTATAGAAGATTAAAGGAAGGAAAGATTGAAAATATATATATATATATATATATTCGTGATTAATGATAGAAAAATTTTAAGATTTTATGAATACTTTCTGATTAAAAGTTGGTATTCCAGAGACTTTTATAAAAGTCTCTAAAAGTCATTAAAATTTGAATACCTCAAAATTGATAGAGGCTTCTAAAAAGTTTGAATTGAATACACCGTAACTTTCAAATATTTTTTAAAAGTTTATAAAAGTCTCAATTGAATATATCGTGACATTTAGAGAATTTCAAATAGTCTCAATTGAATGCCCCTAAACTTTTAAAATCCCAAAAAGTCATTAAAATTTTTAAAAGTCATTAAAAGTTTTAATTGAATATATCTCCAAAATGACCCACATTGATGAATTAAGTAGGAATAAAATTTCATTGTTTCTGCTTGTGATCAACTCCATGAAATGATCCATCTTATCTAATCTTATCTCTTACACGTTACCCTGTATTCTTAATGCAGCTATGGCAACTGGAAACACTCTTGCTGCAGAAGGACACATACTTAAACTACAGTCAAGCCCTAAGCTACACAAGCCAGGCTTTGAGTCAAAACTTACATGGACTAAGAAACAGAAGTCCCATAAGAAGAATGAGTACAAAACTGCTTTATTTTTTGCAAGAAAATTGGAGGAGAATTTGGGTCCTGTTGTTGTGGATTTTGATAATGGTTGGGCTCTTCACTTGGAAATTCTATCAGTATAGACAGAAAAGTGCATTCAAAGTTATGCGTTATTGTCTTCTTACAGCTAAGGGTGCCGCTGAGACATTGAAACTCAACATGGCTCTTATACTATTGCCAGTGTGCAGGAACACTATTACTTGGCTGAGGTCCTCTAAGTTGGGCTATTTTTTGCCTTTTGATGACAACATCAATTTTCACAAGGTAGACAACCTTATTCTCTTTCAAATTTTTATGACACATTGGGCTTAGGTCCTCTGAGTTGGCTTGATAAAACGTTCATAATGCATAAAAAATCATTTGCAGTTTTAATTCACTCCTACCGCAATAATATACAATGAACAAACGCATAAAAATATAATCTTGGAAGCGTTATGTATTCAAGAGTCTACCTATTCCATTCCTTTTTATATGGTCCCATTTAAATTTACTTTCCATACAAGTAGTTGGTGATCAGTTTATTCATGATCTGGTATAATAAAAGTGGTAAGCTTGTGTTTCCATCCAAACTAACTGAAAATGACAATTTCATTTATTCATGATTTGATACAATAAAGTGATAAACTATGTTGCTGAGAAATACTGATTATCGTTGGCCAGCCAAAAGTGATAGCCTAAGAAGCCAAGAAAAAAACAAAAAATAAAAATGATGTTGTGACATTAATATAGAGAAAAGAAATGAATACCGCCCCAATCAACTATTTTAGCCAAATATTTTAGAACAAAGTCGAAGATTATTACTTTATATTTTTAATCTGTTGAAACTTGTTAAAAGTAAATCTCTAGAAAGTAATGGTGTGGTAGATTGGATTATCTTTTACTAGTTACAGTATCATGCCTCTGTGGCCTTGTTAATGAAATCAAAATTGATGGAATTATTTCAAATCATACGTCGTTTGTAATTTTAAATTATAAATATGTGCAGACCATTGCTGCGGGTATTGTAATCGGTGTCATACTCCATGCTGGTAACCACCTAGCATGCGATTTTCCAAGGCTAATACACGAATCTGATGCCAGATATAAGCTTTATTTGATCAACGACTTTGGTCATCATAAACCCAAGTACATGGACCTTGTTAAAGGAATTGAAGGTGTGACAGGAATCCTAATGATAATCTTCATGTTGGTTGCTTTCACTTTGGCGACGAGGCAGTTCAGGCGGAGCCTTATTACGTTGCCTAAGCCCTTCAACAGACTCACAGGTTACAATGCCTTCTGGTATTCACATCACCTGTTTGTCCTTGTTTACATCTTGCTAATCATCCATGGTGTGTTCCTTTATCTTGTGCACAAATGGTACAAAAAGACGGTATGCATCGAGAATTGCCTTTTTCTTCTCAATTATTGTTTGAATCATCTGATTACAGATAATTTTTCATTGGTAGCAGACGTGGATGTACCTTGCTTTTCCTGTACTCCTATATGCCGGGGAAAGGACCCTCAGATTTTTCCGGTCAGGCTTGTACACAGTCCGGCTGCTGAAGGTGAGCATGGCATTCTGCTTATTCTAGTAAGAAGGAATCAGGGCTTTACCCAAAAATTTCTACAGAACCCTGAAGATTGTTTAACCTTGGATTGCTGTTAATTAGCTCGCCCTTTGTAGCTCAAGTGAATGCTTTCAATACGTGTCTTTACAGTTATTTAAATGTTCTGATTTTTCACATTTAACCTGCTTTATAACCTTTTCAGGTTGCTATTTATCCAGGAAATGTCCTGGCATTACAAATGTCTAAGCCTCCCCAATTTAAATACAAGAGTGGACAATACATGTTTGTCCAATGCCCTGCTGTTTCCAAACTTGAATGGTGAGTTAAAAAGAACATTATCCTGTTGATGTACAAGATAAAACAATAATATCCTGATGCCATTGCAATTTTTTCAATATGTACTACATCCTGTTTTCCATAGCTTGACTAGGAAAGTTGCACTGCAATTCTAATGAAGTTATAATAATTGTATTCCATTTTCAACATCCGGTATTTGTTTATAATCAAATATTTCCTGATATTGTTTAATAGTGATCCCGAAGTAAGTCATTGAAGGAACTTCAAAATCAGAGACTAATAGACTGCAAGCAATTATGAAACTTCATTTTTTCTTGGTGCTTGATTACTTTTTTACAATCATGCAGGCATCCATTTTCCATTACCTCAGCCCCCGGGGATGATTACCTCAGTGTACACATACGGCAGCTGGGCGACTGGACACAACAACTGAAGAAGGTATTCTCTGAGGCTTGTGAGCCACCTGTCTGCGGGAGGAGTGGGCTACTCAGAGCAGATGAAACAACCAAGGGAAGGTACATTTCTTTTTTCTGAATCAGTATATGTACTTTTCTTCAACCTCTATTCTCTCCATTAGCTTGTGAATATATTCCATAATCTAGAATTTCGCTCCAAAAATCTCAGTTTGCCAAAGCTATTGATAGATGGACCTTATGGAGCTCCTGCACAAGATTACTTTAAATATGATGTCCTCCTACTCGTTGGACTCGGAATTGGAGCAACACCTTTTATCAGTATCCTAAAAGATTTACTGAATAATATTGTCAAAATGGAGGAGCAGGCGGTAAGTAACTTAATTCTTCATATTAAGTCTTTCCTATCTATCATCCTGCTAGCGTTTAGGCTTCTTGAGTTACTATGTCATTCATTTTATCATTACATATGCATTTAATGTTATACTGTGTTAATGTTTAAAACATGTTCTCAAAATTCAATTTCCTTCTTTCAGGATTCAATTTCAGATTTCAGTAGGCATTCGGATCAGAGTCTTGGATCAATTAGCTCGCCCTCTGTCAACAAGGTATATACAAAACAGAAGAAAACACTGAGGACGACGAATGCTTACTTTTATTGGGTGACAAGGGAACAAGGATCCTTTGATTGGTTCAAAGGTGTCATGGATGAAGTTGCGGAACTTGATCAAAGGGTAACTTAAGCATAACATCTAAAATTTCTATTAGAAGTTTTCGCTGTTTTTTTATTGTAGTGTTTGTCTCTGTAACTTTATAGGGTGTCATTGAGATGCACAACTACTTAACTAGTGTATATGAGGAAGGGGATGCTCGCTCAGCTCTCATCACCATGGTCCAGGCGCTAAACCATGCTAAGAACGGGGTCGATATTGTCTCTGGTACAAGGGTAAGATCTCTAAGAAATGTTTAATAAGATGGATTGATCATTATTAAAATCTCGTATATTGTATTCTCTAATTCAGTCCAGTACTGCATACTAAGCATATCCTTCTATTTGTGATTACACCAGTTGAATAACACCCCTAACAACTTTTTGCTTCTTAGATGTACTTATTTTGTTGCTTATGAATAATATACCTATGCTGTTGCTTCTAACAGGTCAGAACTCATTTTGCAAGGCCTAATTGGAAGAAAGTTTTCTCTAAAATTGGTACTAAGCATGCTAATGCAAGAATAGGTGAATATTTTCTTCTATAGATGCATAATGAAAAAAAATTTAGTCTTCTTGAGACTTGACCATATCTTGTTTTGGTATTTGGAGCAGGAGTTTTCTATTGTGGGGCACCAGTTTTAGCCAAAGAACTCAGCCAGCTATGCTATGATTATAATCAAAAGGGCTCAACCAAATTTGAATTCCACAAAGAGCATTTCTAGAAAGCAAGTTATCGTCTAATGTCTTGATTGCTAAGCCATATTAGACAACACTAGATAATAAGATGAAGTCAACTCCGGCGTAACAAACATGTCCTAAGTGAAAATNCCAAAAATCTTATTATGCCACGTGTTAGGCGTGACAGGTGACTATTCCAAAACTAACAACTCCAATGCGTCTGTTGCAATGTCGCCCATGTTCTAGAATATCTATTTAATTTTAGCTAAATAAAATAATTGGAATGAATAAAAAATTAAGAATGTCAAACTCTGTTATGCTGAAGTCTCCAAATTGCAATAGTGTTTTGACATGGGCTAAAAAAAAAATTAGTGGGGTTGGTGGGGGTAAATTTGTAATTAGCTATAAAATAACATTTCTATTTCTTTTTAATTTACATTATGTAGATTATTACGCTAAGTGCCTCGGCAAATAAGTTGTCAAGATTACAAGAACAGGCAGAAGAATATGCAGCTTTGATCATGGAAGAGCTCGATCCTGAAAGACTTGGCTACATCGAGGTTGGCTCTTCTATCTAATTAAAAATACATTATTGTTATTATTTAAATTTCGATAATGTTATCTACCATTGATTGCTCGCAATTGAAATCGTACAAATAAAGCTAGATCTATACTATAGTTGTCTCATGCAATAAATAAACTCAAACTCGTAAACTTGCATGACATCATAGTTTACTTGACACGTAAGGAAACAATACAACATACTTCAACATTATTCTTAATTAAATTCAAATCAATTACGTCAGTCTTAATGATGTTCCTTCACACGCAAATATCAAATTTGATATATGAATTTTCATAATTGAATAGCGATGAGATTTAAATACAAGATATTTGTCTACTCTAATAGTACATTAAAGTACCTCATGTAGTACGTTCGAATAATTAATGTTCATGCCTAAGTTGTACTTAAAGCACTAACTAATTGATTGTGCACCAACCACAGTTCCTCGACTAATACTAAAGAAAATGGTTACAAATAAAGTTATCGTGTTGGACTTTTATTTCGAGAAAGTCAGTAGTTAGACAACAAATCATGGACTAAATCTTCCTAATAATATTAAGATAATTTGTTCAACTACACACATCGAAGAAAGAATTAATGTACTCCAAAGCAAAATATAAATTTAATCAGATTGATATCAATTGGTTAGGTAATTCTTGAATAAATATTGTTTTAATTTGTTAATAATGGGGAATAATTATTTATTTTTATTATGGGGGTGAAACCGTCCCATGAGCCAAAAGTCAAAATAATGAAATATATTAATTTTGGTGGTACAATTCCACTAACATATAAAATCCCATAACATCTTCATTATTTAAAATGAGACAATAAAACAAAATTTATGACAAACCAAACACAATATTTGTACAACTTTTTAATTCATTATAAAACCCAACAATTATTAAATTTTAATTCTATGTTTAGAATAATCATATATGCTTTAGCTGGGATTGTCTTAAAACCATAAATTAGAGTGATATTAAAGTACAAAAGTTTTGAAAAGTTATAACCATTTGTTTTACATATATTAATGAGAGTATGGCTTACTGGCTAACTAGTGATCATTTTAAAAAAACTTTCCGTAATATTTAATATTCTTTTAATGTTATTGATCGATGACCCTTGAAATATGTTCATCAGAAGTAGAAATATTTTAATATTTTTTTTTTTTTTTTTAAGATGGGGGCCTTCAAATAGGAAACCTTAGGCGATAACTAACACACCTAAGAGTTGAGTGGTCTCCGAATAACTAAGCAACTTTGCATTGTAATTAGAGGTGAACACAGTTCGATTTGAACGATTTGCAGCAATTTTTCAAATCAAATAAGTTAAATTAAAAATATTGATCTAAAATTTCACAAAACAAAAATCGTATTGTTGAAAATATTACATAACAAAAATTCAATAATTCTAATCATTATAAGTGGAAATTATACCCATCCCTACTTTTCAATAACACTTTCAAAAATCAAATTATAACTATCTTCTTTCGAAAATCAGATTATAATTATTTTATAGTTTAAAAACATAAATAATCTAATAATTAAATCTCAAACCCTCATAATCTAATAAATCCACCACTATCCACAGCAGCCACCTTATCCACCATAATAAATAATAATAATCCACCATACCCACTCAATCTGGGCATCGGATGAGTCGGCCCGAGTATTTCAATACTCAGAACCACCCATTATACTTTAAGTATTTTACAAATAAAATCATTCGGGTCTTTGTAAATACTGGAACCAAACCCAAACTCGAACCGTCGTTTTCGATTCGGTTTTCGATCCTACTCGTAACATTTTATATACATTTATTTGATAAATATTTCACATAGACTCTTTTGGTACATATATCTAATATGCTATTACTTGAAAATATATATGCAATGGAGAAAATTCAATTAAAAATTTTTCAAAAAGCAAAATATTGGATACTAAAAGTCACGAAAATAGGAGAAAATCAAAAAAATCAAAAATGAAATTGTAATTTGAGAAAAAATTACTTTTCTTAATAAATCTTATTTGATCTCTAAGAAATGCATACTAGGCATGTACTTTAATTATGAACAATGCTTGAATTCTTCTACTTGTAAAAAAAAACTGGTTTATAAATACTAATTAAATACATAGCTAATATAGTATCAAAAAATTACGATTCACACATTGAACTCACTCTGTTTGAATAAAAAATAAATATTTAAAAAGAGGACAACGGACTCAAGATAACAAAAAAAAAAAAAAAAAAAAAAAATAAAAAAAGGGAAACAAGACAAAAAAAAAAAAAAAAAAAAAAAAAAAAACACAGCGCAAGCAATGAATTTATTCAATTGCCATACGTTATGAAAAAAAAAATCACTTAAGTTTATTAATAATACAAGAAAGTATATAGCTTGAATTGCAAAAGAATGAACCCTTTGATTCATCAACTTATATTACAAAATGTTTGAAATTTTTGATTTATAAAAACTCAAATTGTAAACATTAACATAATAACCTCTGAGATGCAACAATCGATGTGAGACGAGATGTAAAAGAGTAACAACCAATCTTATTTTTTAGGGTTAGAGTTTAAAGTTTTAGACTAATTACTACCAAAATTAGAATTTTTAGGTTTTATATGTTTTTTCAAGCCAATAAATTATATATATATATCGGTTCTATTTGAATACCCAAGGTTCTGGTTCAAGAATAAAAAATCGAACCGAATCCACTCGGTTCTCGGTTCCAATTCCAAATTTATTTTTTCAGGAATCGGACCGGAACCTCCGATTCCAATTCGGAAGATTGGCCCAAGCCTAATACCCACCCACTATAGTTGAGCGGCGCCACCATACCCACCGCCCGCAACCGCATCATGCCAAGAATAAGAGACAATGAGCGCTTTGCATAGATCGTAGTTGTGCAGCCTCATGCACTCAGTGGTGAATATAGGAAGAAATAGTGGCTCTAGCGTAGATTTGTCTGGTGGAGAGAGGAAGTCTTGTGGTAACTCTAGTGGCGGGGCAAATATAACGAAAAGAGGTGGCTCCAACGTAGATTCATCCGTTGCTCATCAGTGTGCACGATTTTGGGGTGTTTTCAAGTGTTTTAGGGTTGATAGTGGTCTAGATCTAAGATAGGAGCTATGTTTTCAGGTGCTTTAGGGATGATTAGAGATCCCTATAGCGCGAGCAGGTGACAATGATGGTGGTTTTGGACAGTTCAAATGACACTATAGTGATAATATTGTGATGTGTTGAGTGGTGTTGTGGTTGTGGTAATGGTTTTGCGATTACTGTGGTGGTGCAGTGCGGTACTATAAAGTGAGGTATGGTGATAGTAATGTGGTGGAGGGGTGGTGGTTGTATTGGTGGTGATGGTAATTGTGTGGTGGGAAGAATGTTTGTTATCAATTATTTGGTTTATTATGAACAATAAATTGATTATTTTGTTATCAATAAATAATATGTGACCAATTATTTGAGATTGTGATCAATAAATTTGATATTTTGTTACCGATAAATAATATGTGATTGAAAACTTGTGATCAATAAATAATGCGACCTATTAATTTGATAAATTTGTGACTAATAAATAAATTGTGACCTATAAAATTTTTTATTGTGATCGAGAAATAATTTTTGATCAATTAATTCTATAATTTGTAACCAAATTGTATAATAACCTTAATGTATTTAATTAATAAAAAATATGTTTAATTAATTATTTTGTAATTTTTTTTAAATATGATTTTTGAGGTTTTAAACCTTGCTTCTTAATTTTGAAATGTATCATACTTAATCTCTTATATGTGAATTTTTCCTCATTTCAATATTATAGAAATTTTTAATCTCTTAGTCAATACTAATAGGCACAACATCTACAATTATAACACATGATTCATTCTTTCCATAAATATAAAAATATAATACATGAATTCATTGATTATAATTAAATGATATGAAACAACTAATAAAAGAAAATGATAAAAATATCAAATACAATAATATTTAGAGTAGAATCATTCTCAACGAGTCTATAAGAAGTGAACCCATTTTTTTCATGGGTTCGAGTAGAGGCCAAAGATCTTGAGCAACCGATCCGACGGAACAACTGAAAAGATAAAGAAGTATATGTGAGTCATTCAATGCTTCCGACACCATATTTGTGTTCAACAAATTTCTAAAAGAATCAAGAATCCGACCACTAGTAGGAAATATAGACTCAGAAACAATTGTTAATATTTAAATAGCTAACACCTTTTATTCGATTTGGGGGGATAATCTTTCTATTTATTTGTAATTAATTTCCACCAAAAGAATATATCGAAATGCTCATTTTTAGTATTCCACCAAATCATTATAGCTATTATTAGTAAAATCTAGAAACTAAATTAAAATATAAATACTTAATTGAGTGATCTGACCAGAAAATTGAGTTGCAAATAAATAAGAAAATTTGTCCGCTAAAAATTTAAGGGAGCACAACACATATTTGAACAAAATAACACAAATATAAAAAAAAAAAAAAAAAAACAAAAAATTACCAAAATATTAGAAAATTTGGATAAATTGATCTGAAAATTTAGCCGAAACTCGAGAAAATTATTAGTAAAAATGAAAAGAAATGTGTGAATTTGAATTAAAATCTAGATATAATTGTTTACTCAATTATAATTGACGATGGGTATTTGGGTACAAAAAAAATAGCAAACAATTACCAAAATATTAGAAAATTTGGATAAATTGATCTGAAAATTTAGCCGAAACTCGAGAAAATTATTAGTAAAAATGAAAAGAAATGTGTGAATTTGAATTAAAATCTAGATATAATTGTTTACTCAATTATAATTGACGATGGGTATTTGGGTACAAATTAATGGGATGGATAATTATCCATTTAGGTATTAAGGGTAATTGGTTTATGCTAATATGAATGTATTCTTTGATTGGGATGTGTTTAATTTTAATTGGGTTGGATAAAATTTAATTTTTTCTTTAATAAACGGTATGGGGTTTGAAACAGTTTGCAAAAATTGAAATCTAAATCCAACCCCTTCGAAGCAATTTGGTGTGGTTCAAAATTAAAACGTTGACGGATACACGTGAATCCAATTCAACGGTTTCAAAAAAGCGGTATCGATTTGGCAGCTACATTTTTCAACTCTAATCGTAGCAGGGAGGTGTATTCAATTGGGGTTTTTGAAGACTTTGACGGACTTTTTTTTAGTGATGACTTTTGTGGATTTAGTGGATCTTTTATAGATTTGTATGAAATTAATGAGAGTCTTTTGTCTATGGATTTTCATTTTAGAATTTTTATAGACTTTTGTGAAATTTAAAAAACCTTTGAAAACTTTCATTTGAAATAGAATTCACATAGATTTGGTGCGAAAATTTCACATACAAAATGTTTGTTCCCACAATTCCC